CCTTCCAAAGCATTTATAACATGCAACTTGATATAATATGCACACAAAATCATCCATTTTATCCCCCAAATTATTAAAAGTATTTTAAAATATGTGAATTAAAGCTTGGCTTCATGTTTCTCAGTGGATGGTCAATTTCTTATATCTGAACCATTAGAGTCAGCACTGCTATGATAATAAATGTAGCAGAAATCAACACTGTGGCTATGAACCTTGTATTTCATAATGTCACTGGTACATAATTGAAGTCCTTGCAAAAGCCAACTATATATGACTGAGTTGATGTGAAAACAAAGTATTATTTTTTAATACACAGTGAGCACAGTCTGAGTATTTGTGATCATTCTTATTTTTTTTACAATCACTTAATTCATTTTTACATTTGTAGGAATGTGGGGGAGTTACCCATTGTACTCTCTTTAATTTATAATATTTTATTTTTACCAAGCTCTCCTATTTCTGAATTTATTAAAATTACTCTTTTGAGGTTCACTTTTATAACAATCTGTTAAAAGCTTCCTCTACCTTTCTTTAAAGGATACCCAAAAGTTAAAAGAATCATGCAGTATTTTGACTATCACTCTAAATACTTAGCTTTATTTACCTCTAAGAAGGGTATCTGTCTTATTTCTATTTCAGTCAAGCATTGTTTCCCAACATTCCCAAGAAGCAGGTTGACGCATGAATAGCCTATTGAGGTGGCTTTTATAGAATGATGCTATCCAAGAGAAATATAATGTAAGCCACAAATGCAAGCCACATTTGTACGTATTTTTTAAAATTTTAATATTCACAATAAAAATGGAAAAACAGGTAAAACTAATTTTTAATATATTTTATTTAACCCAACATATTTAGATATTGTTAATTCAACATGTTAATATAAAAATATTAATGAGATATTTTATTGACAACAAGTTTTCAAAATCCAGTCTGTATTTTAACTCACAGAACTTGTCAATTTGGATCAGCCATATTTAAAATTATCACTATCTACATGTGGCTTTTGTTTTGCTCTAGAAGATATAAGAAGCACTAGGTCTTGACCCAATTATCCTGACCCAGAAGAACTTAGGCATATTAACATTCTCATGCATCTTGGTTGCCTCATCTGGGAGTTTACTCATTGACATTTATGTTTTAGGCATGGTGGTGGACTTGGGCATAGTGAGATCTTTCCATGATAATCTCCTTTTAAAAAGTCTTTCTCCTTGACTCATATTATGATCTCTAAAAAGTATTAGAGAAGAACATAAGATCATTAAAAAGAAAAGGACACCACCTCTGTTTTAACTTGTGTCTCCTAAATCACCTACATATTGAAATGCATAATCATTTTTCATGTCCTACAACATCCAGAAACACAATGATTTCAAATAAGCTCTCTTGCCTATCCTACTAGTTTCCTGTTAGCTTTATTATTTTGCTGAAGCATTTCAGATGAAAGTTAATCTTCCTTTCTCCTGTTTTACTTCAGTAACTTCTCAGTTCTGTGTTGAAATTAATTTCATACTAATTCATTCTTCCGACTCTGAATCAATGTGTACTCCAGGCAGTAAACTCACATTAGCTCTGGATGAGACCGCTCCCTTGAGACTGTCTTCAGAAAGGATGGCAGCTGTGGAGTTTCAGGGAATTCACGAGGAATAAAAAGAAATACAAAGCAGACACTAGGAGTAAGAAAACAGTAATGATCAATGATGAGGCAAACATGCCTGTCAAAATGAAACTTAAGTGGAGGGAATTAGCAGGGAGGGAAGCTGCCACCTCCTGTCCATTGCCAAGGGACTCCAAGTACCAGCCAAGGCTCCCTTAATTGAGTAAAATGACAATCAGGCATGGTACTGAAACAGAGATGGCTTTTATAAATAGGGCTGATAGCAGAATTTTTTCAACTTCTGATTGCTGTCTGGCTATGGCTCCACCTTAGAAAAATTCTTTCCTTGGAGTGCCAAATTCAGAAGATGATTTTGCCCAACTCGGTGCTGCCATATTTTCTAAATCTCTTAAAATAGAATTGAATCATAATTTAGAGAAAGGATCCAACATGCAAAAATGGATGGGCACATGGAATGAGATTGCCAAGTTTGTTAGATGCATTTGCCCCATGAATAGTGAAATCTTCTCTCTTAAATCTGAAAATGTTACCGAAGCACAGCTTTTGAAATTGAGGTAAGACTCTTCTCATAGTAGTTTGCTTTGGGGAAATGGAAATATTATATGCTTGTTAACTCTATCAGTTTGGTGCCTCCCCCACAAGGAAAATTCTGTCTTCTGTCTACTCTCTCCCAGTCTACCTCTCTACCATCCTGCATTCTCTCTCTCTTTCTCTCTCTCCCTTTCTCTCTCTCTCTCTCTCTCTCTCTCTCTCTCTCTCTCTCTCTCTCTCTCACACACACACACACACACACACACACACACACACACTTCATAATTTGAATCACCACTACATAGCTTGAGAAGAAAGATTACATGCAGAATTTGTTCATGCCCTGTGATAATGGTCTAAATGGGTCCAGTCACCTTCTCCATTTCACTATTAAAGACACAACAAGGTCTTACAAATAAGCTCTCTCAGTGACTCAGAGCAGTCTGAGAAAACGTTATCTTAGAAAACATTGCAGGGTTCAAGGGCTTTCAGGAGGGAAATGGTAGCAGGATCAGGAGCACTGCTGCTCTCTTGCCTTGGGCTGGTCACCATTGGGGAGAAAGCTTCAAATCTTGCCACAGTTGTTAGTGAAAACGCTTTATTCTGTGAGGATGATAGCAGAAAAGACTTTGTGATCTTGTTGCTCTCCCTGCCATTCTAGTGTTTCCACGTGGCTGCTGTGAGCCAGGCCCTGCCTATTCATGGGTGTCTCAGGCATGGCAATTGAATATTACAAACTCATCCTGAGGTGACTCAATGATGAACCACCTGAAACAGACAGTTCTCAGTGGCCAGTTTCTTGTGAGGGCTCAGCAAATCCTTTCACGGTCACACTCCCTTCCTAGAGTGGCCCTCATCTTATGACTGGTTGATAATGGGTTATAATGGCTCAGCAGTATTGGCCCAACTCAGGAAAACTCTGAAGGGTCATCCTTTAGGGCCAGATAAGGCTTGTTGAGACTATATCATAGCTCAACTTCACCCTCTGCCCAATTCCCCCCAAGACATTTCCTAGGCATGCTCTTAGGAATTAATCCTAAGAGCATGCCTAGGAAATGTCTTGTCTGCTGAATACTTGCCATGTGCCTGGCACTATGCCCAGTGCTGGCAATGCAGATATGGAAGGCACTATCCCTGGGCCAAGGAGTTCACCATCTATTCCAGAGATAAGCAAGTAAACATGCACTTAAAATGTACTGTGGCCAGTGATCTGACAGAAATTAAGTATGAGTTTATACCTATGAGGGTCATTCAACCTAGGCTGGGAGCAGGTTATAACAGGGGTTTTAACAGCAATGAGAGGGTCAGGGAACACTTCTCAGAAAGGTGAGGGTCTGAGCCCAGTCCTGGAACACTGCCAGGTGTCAGTCAGGAGTATTGGTTTCCTATTGCTGCTGTAACAAATTACCACAAAGTCAGTGGCTTAAAACAACACAAATGTTCTCTCACCATCCTGTAGACACTGAAAGCCAGTTTTACTAAACTGAAGACAAGATGTCAACAAGGCTGGATCCTTCTGTAAGTTGTAGGACAGAATTTGTTTCCTTGCCTCTTCCAGCCTTTAGAGGCTGCCCACATTTTGTTTGGCTTGTGGCCTCTTCTCCCATCTTCAAAGCCAGCAGCATAGCATCTCTTCTTGATCCTCCTTCTCCTCTCTTGTAAGTCCCCTTGTTTGGCATGACATTGGGCCCACTCTGATAATCTAGAATAATCTCCCCATGTAAAGTAAGATATTCCCATGTTTCAGGGATTAAGATGTGGACACCTGCATGGAGGCATTATACAACCTCCTATACCAGTGACATGCCTGAGTCAACATTCCAGACTGAGGGATGACCTGTGCAAGGACAAGGAGGTGTGGCCCAGTGTCATTGGGACATCTACAGATATTTCATAAGGTGGAAGCATACGTTCCAAAAGAGGCGTGTCAAGAAAAGATCAAGCTGGACAGAGATGCAAGGTTGCTGCATTATTTAGGGCAGTGTATTTTAAGCTTGATTTATACTTAATTACATATGGGACTCATCTCCCTATTTGCATATAGGCACCTGAGGCCAGGATGTGGGTCCCTGTCTTCTTGATGCCACCATAACTCTGGTTCAGTGACTGGCACAGGACAAGAACTCAGCACATGTGTGTGGCATCAACAAATGCCAGCTTTGCCCTGCTATTATGACACCATGGTGTCTGAGTAATCTGAGCCAAGAACAAAAGTCCCCAGAGCCTGGCTGGCTGCGTGATCCTGGGCAACTTTGTCTTGGCAGTGTGGCTGGCCTGCTGACAGGGGCGTTTCCTGAGCCAGCAGTGTGTGTGGCACCAGAGGGAGAAGGCTTTTGAGAGTGTCTGTGATAAAACCGGCAAAATGGTCACTGTGAAAACTGGAAAGTGGGTCCAGGAGAGCTTACTATGCTCTTCTCTCTATGCATATTTCCATAATTAAAGTTCTAAAAAGGGTACATGAGCAGAGGTGAGGTGCACATAGCATCCTACCAAGGGCAGCAGGCACCGAAATGTGAGTGAAGTCTGCGGTGGAGCCCCGACCAGGGTTAAAAGGGATGAAGAGTAAAGGCTCGTGGTAACATAATGACATAACATCTGTGCTGGTGCTTCATCAAATGTCGAGTTCTGCAGACCCTCGAGGGGCTCTTCCTCAGAAGGCTAAATGGACACAAACATTATTTGCTCAGAATTTAGGCCCGTTTCCAATCTTTCATGGATTAAACAAGTTGAATTTCCTTCCCATAAGGAAGCTCAGGGCCCATTGAACTAATGTCTTCTTTACGCAGCCTTCCCTTTGACACCCTCCATCTAAGATATGCTGGTTTCCTTCCCTCTCTGCCCCTCAACCCAGACGCTGAAGGACGCCAGCGACAATGCGCGCAAGGACTTCCACCGAGAGGCCGAGCTGCTGACCAACCTCCAGCACGAGCACATTGTCAAGTTCTACGGTGTCTGCGTGGAGGGAGACCCACTCATCATGGTCTTTGAGTACATGAAGCACGGGGACCTCAACAAGTTCCTCAGGTACAGTGCGGCGGGGAGGGCGAGGCAAAAGTGGGCCTTCGGGGTTCAGGCAGCCAAAGGTGGAGCCCCTGAAGTCCTGGCTGGCTCCAACGTGCTCTTTTCTTTGCAAGAGAGCTGCCCCTCAGCTTTGCAAGATTAGCAAACATGCTGCCTGGGATTTCTTGATAGAGGATGTCACTTAGGAGAAGCAGGAACTGTATTAGGGGTAGGCAACCAAGTTGCACCTGCCCTTGCTGGCCTCAGTTTCCTTACCAGTAACAGGGGTATGATTATATTAACCAAAAGGACTACTGCCAAGACTATTGGGATGGGAGGGAATTAATAAATCTTGTCCCCACACCTTCTTCCCGGCCATGTTTTTCTGGGATGCTTATTATGCCTTCTGTGTTATGGCAATACCTCCACCTCTGTTCTCTGGTTTCTGTGGATGCTGAGAGGGGTTTTCCACCAGAAGTCAGTACCAGTAGCTTCATGCAGCCACCGGAAGATTCAGAAACCATGTAGTCTAAGAAATAAGTCAATTGTGGAGAGAGCAGTGGAAGGGGGAGAGTGTACTGTTGTGTTTGGAAATGTCATCACGTGGCCATCTGATCACTTTCACCATCTCTAGCCTCATGAATACAAGTGGAACTTAGTTCTCCTTGGATGGGACAAATCTTCTTTCTCTGATTTGCCTCTGATTGCGTGGGTGATGGCATGCCAGGTGAGATTAGGAATATGGAGCCAATTCATGGTGTTCAGAGACAATCACCCTAAGAATGTGTTATCCAATATCAGCAAAGGTTTTCTTGTAGGTGAAAGGAGAGGGGATGATGGTAGATTTCACACATTGTCTTGTTGAACCTAATATGAATAAAGAGCTGAATTTTGCTGAGGTCCAGCTGCCCATTGGAAAAATATTTACCTTGTTCTATGCTCTAGGCTACTTGTTTAATTAAAAATAGTGCTTTCCATAAATTGTGGCATAATAAATCTACATGTACCCACTAGATGCAATTAAATGCTTCTGTGAGCTCAGACTGTGCATGTCTGTGTAGCACACACCTGTGTGTGTGTGTGTGTGTGTGTGTGTGTGTGTATTCTTTCACTTTTGGCTCCATCAACCTCTCCCTACCTCTCCTTCCTGCCTCCCAGAAGGAGATGGCACCTGGTTCTTCCTTGGCATCTTGTCCAAGGCATGAAGCTATTGGAAACCTCCTCTGCTTGATTTTAGAACCTGCTGAACTCTGGGAATGGGAGGTTTTTCCATGCCAATGATCAGGTTCTTAGGTGCAATATTGTGCCGTGAACAGTCTACCCTCTTTCTGGAAGGAAACCCAGCCTTCGAACTGCCATGAGTGTGTTCCCAAGTGTCACTGGCAATGCCCTATGAAGACAGATGCCTACAGTTATCTTCCCACGCTTTTCATTCAGCCAAAGGGCATCCATCCATTCAGTAGCAACATGGCCAGGCCCTCTGCTAGGTTGGCTAGTGGGTGACAGGGCTGGAATTCAAACCCATAGTCTCTGGCTGCAAAACCCCCAGTTTTTCAATACTGCAATATTTCCTCTTGAGGTGGCTGCTAAAAGATCAGAGGAAAGCAGTGTGCAGTGGAATTCCACAGCCAGAACAATGTGGCTAAGTGCTCGCTGTGACCCACATGGGGAGCCCAGGAAGGTCAGAAGCCTGCTCCTGCTGAACCTCCCTGCTCTCCACAATGGGTGTGGGGGTGTTGATGGTGCCTTTTCCCTCTTAAATCAGCTTCTCATGGAAGAGATGAGATTCATTTTTATTTCAAAGAACTGCAGGATAACCTGGGGAATGAAACAGAGGGCTATAGTGCTAACTTTATTTATACTTTTCTTAAGAACTCACCTGCCCTCTGTTCACAGCAGGACTTTCTGCTCAAGGAAAGCATCCCAGGGTTTTCTCACTAGAAGGAGCCTTGTTCCAATCCCTAGAAACAAGCAGGCACCTGCCCCACCTGCACATGGCAGTGCAGAGTGCAGAAGGCTTTGGGGCTGCCATTTTTATGGCACCTCCGCCTTCTGAATGTGAGGTTGGCGGCTGGGGTTCTGCACAGAGGTAGCCTCGCCTCACATTTTTTCTTTTCTCCCAAGTCTTTGCAATGAACAGATTCTTAGGGGAATTTCAGCTGTGGCAAATCTACAACTTATTTCACTCTTGGCACTACATTTATGAGGATTTCATCCTGGCCTAGATTTTCTGGGTATTTCAGGATTTCTCAAAGTCTATGTGTTCCCCTAGGTCCTTCTGGTATGGAGTTCACATAAGAGCTTTGACTCCTGTGATGAGGGGAAACATTCTTATTTTTCCCTGCCTCTTAGTGCTCAGAAGGGTTGGGCTTGAGTAACCTTTAGTGAGGAGGGAAGGGCCAGCCCTATGGAATCCCTAAGACTGCTGGCACTGGCAACCACAAAAAGGAATGCCCAAAGGACAAGTTGTGTTGTCATGTCACCTCTCCATTCCTAAAGAGGAACCTGTTTACAGAGACTTTCTCTATGGCTTGTTAAAAAATTATTAAATGTATTGGAGTGACATTGGTCAAAATCAAAGTATTTATAAGTTTCAAGTGTAAAATTTGAGAATACAACATCTGTATATTGTATTATGTGCTTGCCACTAAAGTCAAATCCTCCTCTGTCACCGTATATTTGACCCTCTTTATTCTTTACACAAAGATTAAAGGAGGCAAAAACACTTAAAAAGAAGAGACAATAGCTGCTTCAACTTGGGAATGAGCTCAGGGCACAAATAGGGATAATTTGTGACAATAAACATAGAACAGGGGCCGGTAAAGGTCTCTTGGGCTTTTCGATGAAAGGCCACAGAGCACCACACAAGCAGAGTTTCCATTGCTCCTCCCCTCAGTGTGCTTAGAAAGGTGCAGTCACTATCTCCACTTCACAGATGGAAGTAGGTCCAAAAGACTCAGTAGCTCTGCTGAGGTCAGAGCCAGTGTGTTATAACAGGATTCAAGTTCAGTTCTGATTCCCAGAGCCTTGCCCATGACACTGCAAGACTTTTTGCTTCAGTGAGAGATTTTGAGCTGAAGGGACCCCTGGGGCAACCCTCCCCCCCATTTTGCTCCTAGTGTAACAAGAGAAGGTCGCAGGCTGTGGTTTGAGTGGAGGTGAAATAAATGTGCTAAGACTTTTCTTATACAAAACAGGAAGCTACTCCCCAGAAATGGTTCAACCAGGTATTTAGAGATAGAGGGGACCCAAATGATCACATGGCATAATATAGTTCTGACTAAAGGGGAAATCACACATTGGAAAAGTTAAAAGCCTTCCCCAGACCATGGTGCTAAACACCCCCAAAACTGGGAAACTCCCCACCTCCCTGTCCAGTGCTTGTTCTCTGATAATACAAGAACGAAACATCAGATGACAGCAGATTTGGAAATCAAGGAAAGGCGGAATCCCTGAGGGCTGGAGCCTGCTGGAGCAGAGTAGATGCCTATGCTTGAGAAGCTCATCCCACCTGGGATGCTGCTGGCGGTGAGGGGAGGGACAACACCGGATGGGGTCGTTGGAGAATCCTGGCTCTCTCATTTTCAAATTCTCATACTGCTCTGCATTCACCATTTTAAATTTTATTTTAAATTTTCTATTATTTATTTTAACTTCTTCAATGTGTGTGTCTGGAAAGAGATGTCATTGGCATTGACTTTGGGAGGGATTTTGACCTGACTTTTACTCCTTGCCCACTCAGGTCACCAGGGGCAGTGACGCCAATGTAGGCTCACCTGGCAGGGTTAGAATGGGAATGGCAGGTACTGATTACATATCCTGAGTGGTATCCTCCCCTTCCTGAAACACCTATCAGTGTTGCAGTGCCTTAAATCAGCGATGTTTAAACACCATGGCAGGCACACTGGTGGGCAGCAAGAATTTTTTAAAATGCATACCTAATTATTTCGTCAAAGGCACTGGCTTCCCTTACACTGTCAAATAAAAAATAGCAACAGCCAACACAACAATATCTATGTGGTGTGAATGAGTCACAATCATACCTAATTCTTTTGTCAGATCAGCAAAAAAATATATTTTCCGGTATGTTGCAGAATCTTAATAATTAGTTTATGTGTGCCATGAGATGAAAAAGATTGAAAATTGCTACCTGTAATCATTCCTGGGAAAAGATAGGAGAAAGAGAAGATAAAAAATATTATTTTCTCTCACCCCCCCAAAAAAAAAATATAAAGAAGCAAAAGAAGAAAACTTGTCCAGTAAAAGAATGAATGTGTTATGATTCAAAGAATTTTGCCTATGTGGCGGCCAGCATGCGCTTTGAAGGGGAGATCAGGGGGAGGGGGAAGGTTGGGGGCAAGGAGATGGCACTGTTCATGGGGAATGGTTGTCCAGGCTGAGGATGCCCTGGGATTCTGATGGCTTGGGCTTACTAAGATGAGGGCAGCTTGGAAACCATGCTCAGCTGCAGAGCAGGTGGGATCGGGGAGACCAGAGCTGCCAGTTCTGGCCCTGGTGGAGCACTCTGGAGGGATTGCCCTGGGTGGGGGGCACTGGGCTGCAGTACGTGGCTGGAAGGGATGGAGGGTGTGGGCTTAATGACCCATTGCTCTAGAAGAGCCACACTCTGCCACCTGATTTTGATTTTGTTGTTGAGTTCTTGTTTGTTTGTTTTGCTTCAGCCACCTACTGCGTTCTAGAGTCAGGGGACTACTCCTGAAGCCCCTTAAACATGAACCTGTCTGAATGTTGGGGGTGAGCAGTACCACTCAGGCCCACGTGGCCCTGGGAATTGTGGACTCTGTGGGAATGGAAGCCTTTTGAAGAATAACCGTGGGTGAAGCATCTTTCCCTTCTCTTTGTGCTAAGTCAGGCAGCGTCTTTTAGCACCAGTAGCTGATGGGGGACAAAGGACCCCTCAGGCAAAGAATTCCCCCCAGCAACTTCTTCTGTGTCCTCTGCAGGGCACACGGACCCGATGCCGTGCTGATGGCCGAAGGCAACCCGCCGACGGAGCTGACGCAGTCACAGATGCTGCACATTGCTCAGCAAATCGCAGCGGGCATGGTCTACCTGGCGTCCCAGCACTTCGTGCACCGAGACCTGGCTACCCGGAACTGCCTGGTCGGCGAAAACCTCCTGGTGAAAATCGGGGACTTTGGCATGTCCCGGGACGTGTACAGCACTGACTACTATAGGGTGAGTCGGCTGCACCCACCAGGACCCAGGTCCTGGTTATAGTATTTGCTAGGGCTGCCGTGGACTCTGTGGCTTAAACAACTGAGGTTTATTTCTCAAAGTCCAAGATCAAGGTGACTGCAGGCTTGATTTATCCTAAGGTTTCTCTCCTTGATTTTCAGATAGTGCCTTTCCTCTGTATCCTCCCAGGGTTTTCCTCTGTGCATACACCACCTGGTGTCTCCATGTGTCTAAATTTCCTTTCCTTATGTGAATACTAGTCAGATTGGTTTAGGGCCTTATTTTAACTCAATCACCTCCTGAAGGCCCCATCTCCAAGTACAGCTATATTCTGTGGTTCTGAGGAGAGCACAGTTCGATCTACAATATTATCCTGCACTTTCCACATCTTCCAGGTGTGTGATCTCACCATGAGGACAGTCCTCAGCCTGAGAATTTTGCCAGGGAAACCTGAGGGCCTGGAGAAATTCCTGGAGGGCTTGAAATTAATGGATTTTGAGGTTTGCATTTGATTCTGTGAAATTATGTCTGAAGCCCTTGTTTGAGGTTTGACCTAAGATAAACCTGTTCATGGAAATAATGGTACCCCAGACCTTGGAAGTTCCCACAGGGAACCATCTTGGATGAAAGTGGATTAGCTGGTGATGTCGCTGTGAGATGAAGGAAGCACTATCCTGCGGGTTTCTGAAGAGCCCCATCCAGTCCAGAAACTCTAAAGGGTTGAGTTAATCATTCATATCCACCGATTACCAGCAATTGGCCCCTTTGGCATGCTAGATTTGCTAAATGTGATGTTGGAACCTGGGTCTGAGAGAAAAGGAATACTTCTGGAAACCTCAAAGTCCTGATTTTGAAAGCAAAGGTTTGGGTGTTCTACCACCTCAAAACCTCAATTCTGTTTTCTTGTTTTTCTGGAATTTCAAGGGGAGAAGAGAATAGGAAGGGGGAAAAGTAAATGTGCTGTGTGTATATAGCTTAAGAGGATAAAATGGATAGCATGACTAACTTTCATAATAAGGTAGGTCAGGTGAAGAATGGGCCTCTCCTCGCCTTTCCTCTTCCCTTAATGATTTATTCATGAGGAGGAGCCTTATAGTTTGTTTCCTGTAGTTCTGACTTTGGCCTCACTCACTCCAATGCCTCTGCACTTTAGCTGAGCTAACTTTGCTATGGTTAGTCTAAGACAGTGATTTTCAACCTGCCTGGTACAGCATAGTGGAATGCCCCAAGAACTTTTAAAATATGCATACATGACTCTGTAGACGCACTGACCTCTTTTCCCTTAGATGGTCAAATAAGAAATAACAACAACCCACATTCTGCCTATGACAGACCTAGGATCTCACTCTACATGGTCTCACAACAATATCCATGTGATATGAATAAATCAAAATTACACCTTTTTTGTCAGATTGACAAATGATATAATATATATTTTTGATGTGCAACAGAATTTTAGTAATTAGTTCATGTGTGAGATTAACAAGGCTGACATTCACTGGTCCAAGACAAGGAGTTTATGGCCTTGGAGTACTATATTTTCCGGCGTATAAGACGACCCCCTAATTTTACAGTTAAAACATAGGTTTGGGCCTATATTCGCCGTATAAGACTACCCCCCACTTCCGAGGAAACACCAGTTCTTTTTTTAATAGACCGCCTCTCTGACTCTGGCCAATCTGAGCAGGCTTTGTACTAGAACACAGTGTAGCTTCGGGTACAGAACATGTATAATTTGCATGCATAAAAAGCCTGCTTGGATTGGCTGAGTTAGAGAGGCAGTCTATTAAAAAAAGAACTGGTGTTGCCTCGGAAGTGGGGGGTAGTCTTATACAGCGAATATGGGCCTAAACCTATGTTTTAACTGTAAAATTAGGGGGTCGTCTTATACGCCGGAAAATACGGCATATTCTTCTGTAGATATTTTTGTGGTGTGTTATTTTTTTTCTTTGTCACTTCCATAGCCATTGTCCACATTTTGTATAGCAAGGAGTGGAGACCAAAATTAAAAATGATTTTCTTGAGTGTATTTGTAGAAAATATAAGCATAATCTCAATTTTAAGTCATCAGATTGGAGCTTCAAAGAACCTGTCCTGAGTTTAGGGATGATTAGTTTGATCTAGATATCTTAAATGGGGGAGTGGAATGTTATCTCCTCTGTCAGCTCTGCTTCTTTGGTGGCAGTTGGGGTAGGGGCCTCTCCCTGTCCTAGGGGAAAGAAAAACATGTGGTGTGTCCCAAAGGGAAAGCTTTGCTGAACTTGATGAGCATCTAAGGGAGAAACACGTGGCCCAAGCAACAGCTTTCTCTTTAGCAGGAAGTTAACCAAGGTCTCAGAGTGTCTGGCACAAAATAAGTGCCCAATAAATGTTTTCAGCTATATCACTATCCAAATTGATTATCCACCCAATTAAAAAATTGGCAAAGAATTGAAGTAGAGATGTCTCCAAAGAAAATACACAAATGACCAATAAGCACATGAATCGATGCTCAATATCATTAGTCATTAGAAAAAGTAAATCAAAACCACAAGGAGATACCACTTTATATCCCCTGGGATGGCTGTAATAAAAAGACAGACAAAAACAAGTGTTAATGGGGATGTGGAGAAATTGGAACCCTCATCAACTGCTGGTGGGAATACAAAATGGTACAGCTGCTTTGGAAAACAGTTTGGCAGTTCTTCAAAATGTTCAACATAGAGTCACCATATAACCCAGAAATTCCATTCCTAGGTATATACCCAAGAGACTTGAAATCATATGTTCACACAAAAACTTGAACACAGTTGAAATAGCAACATTATTCATAATAGTTATAAAGTGAAAATAATTTAAGTGTTCATTGATTGATGAATAGATAAAAATTCAGTTTGTACAGTGGAATATTATTTATTAATTAAAAGGAATGAAGTACTGATTCATGTTACAACATGGATGAACCTTGAAATAATTATGAAAATAAAGGAAGCCAGGCACAAAGATCACATGATTTCAATTTATATAAAATGTCCAGAATAGGCAAATCTATAGGGACAGAAGGTAGACTAGTAGTTGCCAGAGGTAAGGGCAATGGAGAATGAAAAGTGACAGCTAGTAGATATGGACTTTATTTATGGGGTGATAAAATTTTTCTAGAATTGTATAATGGTTATTTATTTAGTATATTGGCAAATACACTAAAAACCATTGAATGTGTACATTTAAAGGGTAAATATTATGTTATATAAATTATGTCCCAATTTCTAAAAACCTGAAAAAAGAAATTCTAGCCAAATAGTGACTTTGGATATAAGGAGTTAGTCTTGGTCATTTATTCTATCTAATAAAAGAGTAATATGCAAATTGACCCTACCTCCACTACACCTACAAGCCACTCCCATCAGCCAATCAGGACAGAATAAGCACATTAACCCAACCAGGATGGCTGTGGCCACAGAGAAAGCAGGAGGCTTATGTTTCCCTGGCAATGGAGGAAGTCAAGCTTTCCGCCTGCCCTGGCTGGCCCAAACCTCCACTCAAGACTACAAAGTTTCAATTATAGAAGATAAATAAATCCCATATCTCAGGGCCTCTCCTTGGGTCTCCAGGGGATGTGGCCAGCCTGCAAACCACCACAGGCCCATCGTCCAGGCCACCCCATGCCCAAGGGAACCACCACCCTGATCTGGGACAACCTTCAGGGCAAACCAGCCGTCCCCCACCTATGCACCAGACCTCTATCCTATCTAATACTATCTAATAAAAGAATGATATTTAAATTGACCATCACTCCAACACACAAGATGGTTGCCCCCATTTGGTCAAAGATGACTTCCCCTATGTGGACACAAGATGGCCACCACAAGATGGCCAGCAGGGGAAGGCAGTTGGGAGGGACCAGGTCTGCAAGGGAGGGCAGTTGGGGGTGATCAAGGCGGCAGAGGAGGGAAGTTAGGGGCAACTGGGCCTGCAGGGAAGGGAAGTTGTGAGGAGCGGGGGCAGGTCTTAGCGGAGAGCAGTTGGGGGCAAACAGGCTGGCAGGAGAGCAATTAGGCATCAATCAGGCTGGCAAGGGAGTGGTTAGGGGGTGATCAAGCTAGCAGGCAGAAGTGGTTAAGGGCAATCAGGAAGGCAGGCAGGCAAACAATTGGGAGCCAGTAGTCCTGGATTGTGGATCAGGCCTAAACAGGCAGTTGGGCATCCCTCGAGGAGTCCCAGATTAGAGAGGGTGCAGGCTGGACTGAGGGACAGCCAGTCTTCCCCCCCCACCCCATGCATGAATTTTGTGCACCAAGCCTCTAGTATATTATAAAAGCACTGTCATTTGTCATCTACCATATTTTATCATTTGGTTAAAAGAAAACCCTCCACTTAGATAACATATTCCTGAAGTACTTCCTTCTGAATTGATTGGAGATCTGAATTGATTATCTGTTAAATGTTCTTGGAACTCTCCCAGTCATTAAGAAATGTGCTTCAGGTGCCACTTTACTCAGTCCTCCTGCCCCACACCAGTTGCAGCTGCAGGGTTTGTAAGGTTCACTTGGTTGTTTGTAATGTTCACTGAGGAGGAGGAAAAGAACCTATGTTGGCTCAGTTAAGGTGGGAAAAGTAAGTGAGGGATGTAAAATCTGGCAATGTGATAGTAGCCTAGAAAAACAAAACAACCTTCTCTAAAATTCAAATTGATGGCTTGCCTTTTGGTTCCATGAAAGTATTTATCATCATTGAATTCCTTGCAGAATATTTTTTTGCTTATTAAAACATCAAAAGCAGACCAGCTGGTGTGGCTCAGTAGTTGAGCATTGGCTTATGAATCAGGAGGTCATAGATTGATTCCTGGTCAGGGCACATGTCCAAGTTGTAGACTCGATCCCCAGGAGGGGGTGTGCAGAAGGCAGCCAATCAATTCTCTCTCATCATTGATGTTTCTATCTCTCTGTCCCTCTTCCTCTCTGAAATCAACAAATAAATAAATAAATAAATAAATAAATAAATAAATAAATAAACAAACAAAC